GCAACTCCCCCTGGCATACTCTCAAATTTTGTCAGTCTGTAAGGATATACCTCAAGTGTCTACAGTTGAAATATCTCGCGGGTTGGATCTTATTTGGCTGAGTTAGAAAATGTTCAAAAATTGAGTTTTCTAGCTATTTCTATGTTAGCGAAAAATTAATTGTTACCTCGTCCCCTATTCTTATGAGGGTTTAGACAAGAATTTTGTCTTTCAACACCTGTTCTCCAGATTCGCTGCTACAGTGTGATATCTTTTTCTTTAACCCTTTGGTTACGGGGTTTTTTTTGCAGATGCATCTTTTATTTTTCGTTCTGAAATAGTTTATAATGAGTTTCAGTAGTATAGGAAAGTGCTCAAAAGTGTTTTAAAGTATGATAATCTCCAAAACAACCTATCACACAAAGTCCAACATCACAAATATCAGACTGATAACGTGTTTTTTTACGCTTCTTCTCACGTCTACTTGTGCGACTGCAAACTATACAATCTCTTTGTGGACTTTCTTGTGTTGCTGTTGCTGGAACAAGCGATGGGAAATGACGGCCAGTAAGACGTACGGGATTATCACTGGTAATAGGACGACCACCTATAGGTCTCGGTTGAGAATACCTTTCGATCAATTGTCGAATAGGTTCGCTTCGAAAATCTCCAAAATGAATAGACTTTTTATGCTTCATTTTGAATAACATATATGCGTTGAATGTTGATAAATCCAACAGATGAAAGAAGAATTTTTTATACCATTTAATAGTTTTTCGTAAGCATTCTACGAAACTGATTTGCATGTCAGTTTTATCAACTGACCCCATGTTTCTGTTGTAATGTACGATACATTCCGGTTTCTCAACTATTTTTTGTGTCTTCCAATCACTTTTTTGTGTTTCTATCATCCTCAGATTGTGAATTGTACATAGCATAAGGACTTCTCGTTTATCTTGCCACTTCAAAACCATTAGATTATTGCTGTTACTGTAGTCAAAATCACCTTTTGTGAGCTTGTCAAGCTTGACTGAACCAATACGGTTTCGGCGTACAGTACCACATGCACCGGTCTTGAGTTCATATAATTTTTCAAATAAACGAGGATTGGTATACCAGTTATCGAGAAAAAGTGAGTGTCCCTTATTCAAATAGGGTTTCATCAAAGCCATTACTATGAAACCAGATTTTCCCAAAGTTTGGTCTAGATCAATATCCGTAGACGAACCAGTGTATACGATGAAATCCAACACTACTCCTGTTTGACAGTCGCAAATCACGAATACTTTTATGCCAAATCGACGCCGTTTACTTGGTATGTACTGTTTGAATCCCAATCGCCCCTTCCAAAGAATGAATGATTCATCGATACATAAGTTTTTGTTCGGAATAACAAGCGATTTGAATTTCGTCCGCAGATTATCTATGACTGGTTTGATTTTATATAATTTGTCATTGTCCATTTCAGTTAATTCATCGTTGAAATGTAAGTATTTCAAAAGCATCAGAAATCTGTCTCTAGAAAATAATTGACCAAACATAGGTGTAATAATCATTGGATCAGTTGACCAGTAATCAAGAATCTAATTCTTTTTAGTTACAGACATAAGCATAATTGTAGCTAGGAAAGTATATATTTCAGAGCGATTTGTTTCTGTCCATTTTGCTTGATGGGAACTTGTTGAGGATGTAGCATTTTTGTTAGAAAAAACCTGGTACTTGTTGGTTTCTTCAACAATTAGATCAATCATTGTTTCATTAAACAATAATTGAAAAACATCAAGAGGTGTAGCATCTTTCATAGCGTCTATGTTCGATGAAAGATCAGTATTTGTTTCATCAAAGGTGAAGAGATGTGGTTTGAATGCAGTTTTCTTCCAAATGCGATCAGTAGATTGCTGTTTCGATGATCCTATTTCATCATCCGATTCACCACTGTCCACATCTGATGAATAAACTGAATCAATTTCCATAGTAGAATCGCCTTCAGATTCGCTATCCATTTGAATTTCATGTGGATCGTTAGTTGTGCACGTTGCCATATTCAGAGAAAATTCTTTTGTAATGGATATCAATAATAAACTGTTTGTATGAAGTGTTCTGTCGAATAATGAGAATTTCGATTCTGTGAGAATATATATCCAAAGATATGAGGTGTTTCAAGTATGAAATCGAAACTTTATTTACATGAGAGCGTTTTTTGAAAGAGAAACGAAAAAGAATGCGTCAGAATTTACTAGAATGTGTTAGAATGTCAAAAGTCGGCATATGAAAACGCAAAAGAGAATATATGTAGAAGGTAATACGCAGTAATGACGCAATTCTTTTGTTAGAATAAGAGAAAGATACAGTAGTTCTTTTGATAAAGTCTAAACGACATTATATTGAAGACAATACCTACAAAAGTTCAATGCCTATATATAGGTCACCCGTAACCAAAGGGTTAATTTAATCCGAAGATGTCATATTTTTTCTATTTACATTATAAAATCTTCGATTATTAGATTGAAATATTCAAACAAACTATATAAACAGATCAGACTTGACAGTGATAAAACATTGCTAAGAACATATGAAAATATTTTATATATTCGTGCGGTAGAGAAACGAAAATTTTTTTTTTTTTTTCTAAAGCATTTAATTTTAATTTCTGTACCTCTGTTGACAATTCCTTAGATGAGCCATATTTATTACTAGGTTTACCGATTTCTCATTTTACATTCAAGTAACTTCTCAGAAAATAGAAGTAACTAAAATCGATGATATGATTTATTTTAAATTTTCTGGTAAATGCTCCAAGTTAAAAGTCAATACAACAAATTTTGTTCTCACTGACTAAAAATGTATTCGTATGTTTTTCTTTGACAAGTTTTCGTAATCAAAGATGCATGACACATACGAGCTATTTGAATATTATAGAAAGAGAGGAATTCACAAATACTGATTAAGACTATCACTTCTCACTTCTGAAGAAAAGCAACTTTTTCTTTCGCTAGTGCAGTTGTTCTATTATCATGGACTAAAATCATTATTATTTTTCATTACTGTTTTATGAAAACTAGATTGTATATGCTCATAGGAAAATGAAACGAAGTGAAGTTCAATGACTGGGACTGCTAAATAATACATTACTACTTTCATTTTATTAGTCATTGATGCTTTTATATAGTACAGATAAAATATCTGGAGAAATATACGACTAACTCTATCTGTTTAAGAATCTTTTATTGAAGAGTGAAAGATGTCGA